GGGTAAACATTTTCTCTTAGACATGGAGCTGGCATTGTCTGTGGGCCACCTTGTCACCATGGGACATAAGTACAGAGACCTGGTCCTCTGGGTTAGCTGTCGCATGCAAGGCTGACGACCTTACACTGTAATAATAGTTGTTGCGAAATTGATGATGCAAATCTTGGTGCACTAGTATGCGAGACAGATGTGGCAGAATCCTGTAAGGAAGTGTGAAGTAGATACCACAATGAGAGAAAAACAGAAACTTTAATTGATGCTAGTAAGGAGATTTGTGTAAAAGTAAGTATGTATTTATGTTTCATCAGCAGAATGTAGGGCAGAATCATGACATAAAGATAGCCAACGGATGCTTTGATGAAGTGGCACAATTAAGATATTTGAGGAGGACGGTATACGAATGGACTGCAGTTTTCCCCGCTATTGGCGCTGTCGTTGCAGTCGTTGGAGAATGGTGTGGAGTGGAGTGGAGTGGGGGTATCGAGGTTGGAAGCCGCGCCACTTGCGGCGACATTTTGAAGCTAATATGTTTATCTTTAGACAGCCATTTTGTGAGTTGGATGAGTTGGATGGTCTAAGACGAAGAAAGATTCGTGAGGATTTTGTTGAAATGTAAGTGGTAATAAGAAGTGTTTTGCCGCTATTTATTTATTTAATGTGCACATTATTGGAGAATGTTCAATACCGTTTGTTAGTGAATGGTTTTCTTGGTGTATTGACGTTGATTTTGTAATGAAATCATGAGTTGCAAATGCCGTAAAAAAGTTTGCACCACGGGGTATGTAATTTCAGCTTTCAAATTAACTGGAACAGTATGAGTTCAATATTATCATCATTGCTTTAGGCAGTCTTAAGAGCTTTTCAAGACATACATAACAAACCTTCACATCAAAATAAAGCTTAATATAATGTGGTAGAGGTAAAATGATTTGCAGGTCAGGAGGAGTGGTTTAAGAGAGAAACAATAATGTAAAGTAGGCTAGAATACTTTGAAGTTGCCATTTTACCATTTAATTGTCAGTGGATATAGGGATTTATTTCTGAGTTAAGTTAATTATGTATTTGTCATTGTGATGTTCTGCTGGAGCTGCATCATATATTTCTTTGAAGTAAGAGGGTTTATTCTTTTTCTTCAGGCTAATTTTGGAGAATTAAGAAACGTGCTTGGAGTTTGTCACTTGGTGGGCTCTGCGTGACCCGTTTATGAACTGATTTGCAACTGTGTGAACATGCAAAAGCTTCAGTGATGTGTTTTGTAGAGATCTGGGGGAAATGGATCAGCCTCTGGTCATCTTCTGTCGCACAAGTGTGTCTTAATGACTGTGGAAATATCACCGCCACAGCATACTATGATTTATGAGGTAAGTTGTAGAGCTGCAGCCCCTCTTGTGGGAGGTATATTAGTTGTTCTCTGCTTTCACACTTAGTTTTGAACTGTTAAATTTTGGGATTTAAGGAACATGTGGTTGTTATGCCGATGTGTTCTTTCTTCTAGGACCTTTTACTGTCTGCCTGCCTGCCTGTCTTAGTCTGCTTGTGTCTTCGCTTTGAGCCTCCCAGATTGCATACCTGTCTTTGCTATGAATGCAACTCAGAGTATTCTTACCTAGTACTCGTATGCATGTGTCTTTCATTGACCTAAGGGAGTAAGAAACACTTACTATTGGTTTAAATTGAAATTTTTCTCTTTGTAATGTAAGAGAAAAAAATGGGATATAGTTGATTTTAATTGTAATGGAATTAGATTATTGTTAAATATGATTTCACGTACGTATTTGATTAAAAGTGTTGTGTGTCGTAATTAAGATAATAATTTTTTGCCATTTTGGTATTTAGTTGAGTTTCATGATATATTTCAGGAAAGTAAATGTCACTTTCTTGTCCCTGAGGCAATATATTGAAGACGAAGGAAATGTGGGAAGTCGCTGACTGTCGTGATCCTGTGTGTTCGTTGACAGATGGTAGCAGCAGTGAGAGTGTTGTCACTGAAGGAACAGGCAAAAGCCACTATGATGTGGTGATGAGTGTTGGTGAAGAATGGTCTACTCGTGCGTATGTTAGAGGGACACAAGTGGTCCTAGTGACGGTCAAAATGATACTGCCAAACCATACCAGCATTACAAGGTAACATGTACATCCGCAATTCCTCCTGCTGGAGTTAAGTTTAGTTGTTCTGTTGAGTTAGTCTTATTTTCCACGTACGAGTATTAAATTTTGTTTTCTGGGTAACATGTTTCAGTTATGCCAGTGGCTCTATCCTTGAAGTGTCATGATCCTGAATGTCGCATATGTGCTTCTGCCTGTCTTAAGTGCATGCCCATTTTTCAGAATGTTTAGACCTGCTTTTCTCTTCCTGTTTCTGCCTGCCTGCCAGCCCGATTTCCTCTTGCAACGTTCCAGCTGGCATTGTACTTACCTAGCATTCATGGGGCTTCCCTTGGAATGAGGAGGTGAAAAACACACAGGTTTGACTGGACATGAATTTTTTTCAGTTAACCCGTTGCCGTGGTTCGTCAGGGATTTAAATCGTCTGGGGGGGTTCGACGTGTATGTTTCGTCCAGCTGCACACGTATGTTATAACGCCCATAATAATTGATGGTTTTGCTGTAGATTGTTAGATTTTTCACTGGCCTGTTGTCAGGAGGACTGTATTTAATGACACACGCGTTTAAGAGCGCTAAGTCGTCGTTACATATGCCTGTCTTGCAGCAACGTTCCTGTGGCTATTGCGAGCTGTTTCTGTTATGAATGATGTGTTTTCTTTGCTCCGAAGCTATAAACACCAGAGACTGATATGTGCTGGTGTTTATAATATCATATTGCCCTGAGCTGGCTATTCAATTGGAATTCTTAGAAGAGGGATGTACAAAAGTTTATGCCTGCAAAATCGATTGCTTTCGCACAGTACATAGCACCCAT